GCTAATGCGGTGTGACAACTTGCTCCTGTGCTAGGTTTTGCATTGCATCTAACTGACTGACGTGCTGGGATCACAACTTCGTAGGTCAGTTAGAATTTACCTCACTAACAGATTGTAGTGTTCCTTATTCTTTCTATCACCTATGATTTAGTTATTTTGTATTGAGATAAGATTTGAATTAAGTAAATAAACAGTCTAGTGAAAATTGAACACTGTATTTCAATACTTGTTACGAAGGATAACCATTTTTTAAACTGACCGACCCAATAGAAAAAGGTGGAAGGGTCAAGAAAAGACCAATTAAATATAGAATTTAGTAACATTTATATTGTTAGTGGATACAGTTAAATCTATTGGTAGGTCCTGGGTTCGAATCTCGCAGGGGGCGAGGTCGTGGATGCGCACTGCTGAGGAGTCCCACAATGGGACGAAACGGCCGTCCAGTGCTTCCAGGTTTTCCATGGTGGTCTAGCTTCAGCTGACTCATGATCTTAACCATTGAAAAAATCTATTGCTGTTGTTCATTGTACACATGTATTAAGTTATTGAATATTGCCCAAGTACATAAATCATAAGCAATCCAGTGTACTTTTTATATAGGTGTTGATTGGTAATTGGATATAGTGTACATTTATTTGTGGTGTATCACAAATTCTGATTTGAACTTTGGTCTTTTTATTTGCATTGAGTCAAATTAATTTTGTTATAGGGTAGGTGTAAGAGGTAACAAGTAGTTTTTCCTCAGTTATAAGAAGTAGCTGTATCAACATTTACGAGAAATTTAAAAGGTCAGACAGAAACACTGGTAAGCAATTTCTATATATTACCTCAGTTTGAAATGCACAATAAAGTGCCGTCAAGAATGGATGATGTGCAGCCAAAACAAGAATACGTCTTTCAGTTAAGGTGCAATCCACATCTTCATCTTGTAATATAACTTCTTTTTTTAAACTTTTACAGCAAATACTTCACCAGTTGATTTATATTCAGCAAGCATTACTTTGCCGAAACTACCTTTGCCTAATACTTTGAGAAATGTAAAATCCATTAAACAAGGAATCTGTGAAGCTGTGGTACATCCATGAGCATCAGGAGGGTCCTAATAGACATTAAAAAGAGAACAAAGGAAGAAACATACATAAACCATATGATTCAATTAAAGTGATAATTTATAGTATTACAATTATACAGGAGTTCTGCCACAGTAACTTGAACATACCAATGTGTTAAGAAATGAGTAAAAAAATTCGATAAGAGCTAACTGAAATAAGTGTTATAAGAAGAGATGGATGGTGGCCAACAATGGATTCCAGGATTCACGTTTTATCCTAGTTGGGACTCGTCAGTTGGATGTACCTGCATTCCAGAATTGATGTTCACTCCGGGACTTGAAACCAGTACTATTCACTTCAAACGCCATCGCGTTATCTACTTAGCTACTGAGTTCAGATAGCTACTAGCCGAGATGCAGGTATATCCAAATGACGAGTCCCAAATAGGACGAAACGCACGTCCTGGATTTCACTATTAGCCAACATCATCGCTTATAATGCTTGTGACTTAAGGCAATACCGAGGTAATCTGCACAGGATGCCTGTATGCTAATAAGATATTGATCAACTGCAGTCCTAAACATCAATGAGCAGATTCAAACAACCAATACAAAAATGAATGAAATGAGTTTCTTAAAATTATCAAATTAGTAGACTTCAAATCTGGTGAGTGGGTTGAAACTGAAATCATAGCGACTGGTACCCAATATATTACTCTACAAATAAGCACGCACATCTTTCATTGTATCATCCATAGAAGTAGTAAAAAATATATATTCTGCGATGATTATATGTATTTTTAAAATGTTGGGCATTTGTGTTATTTCACCATTTAGTAGAATTGTTCAACACTCGTCATGTTGTGCATAAATTAGTTTCGTCAACACGCTTCACTACCTCGCTCTCTTTATAATAAGAATAGACTGATACATGATTCAAACGTTTTGTCGTCTATCAAGGGGTTCAGAAAACTTGGAACTTGTCAACGTTTCCACTAAACAGTATTAAGTTAAGTAAATAAGAAATTCCGGTAGATTATTACGTTGAGATGTGTTCGATGCCATATTCCCATTCAATAGCCTATCTATAATAATATTGAATACAAAAAGAAAGAGGGAGGTAATGGGCGATGCAAAAGGATTATACTTGAAGTAGCTAACACATAACAGTTCTTTGTAGGCTCCGACCCAAACTAATAGTATTCAGGCAAAGTGAATCGATATGACTTGTATGAAACCGTACACCAAGAGCTAACAGTCATGAGCGAGCAGTTTATTAAGAGGAGAAAAGCTTCACCACAATTTACATGATGACAAATAATACCGCAAAACGCATACTTGTAATGAAGATGGTCTTTGAGCAGGCATTCCATGTCGACCAGCGACTGGTCCTGCAGTGCTCAGTGAACCACTTCCAGATGTAGGATCTAATGCTGCATATCTGCTGCTCGACTCATCTATGTCCATGCTACCGCCACCAGGAGCACCACGACCAATACCGCTACCACTGAGATCTGTTGTTGGCATGGAAATAGGAGAACTAAGTGATCTTTCGTGAGGAGCGACTCCAATTAATGAGGAACTGGGAAAAGAAAGAGAATAGGAATAGATTTATCAAACTAAAAGTGATTAAACTCTCTGTAGGAAATATCTTGAAATCTTAAAACGCTATCATTATTTTTATACGAACAGTATTTGATATGTATAACCGTGGATTATGATGTGTATATGTTGAGTAAGATCAAATTACCTTATATCTATGGTGATAGAAAGAGATAAGGATATACTTTCCGGTGTGATGCGAGATGCTAATCGATATTAAGTGTTAGATTGGACGATAAAGATTCTGATTGTCGATTAGTTTATTTATTTTGCCAGTAGGATCGGTGACCTTCTGAGTACCAATTGACAGATCGACCGACCAACAACAGACAAGATCTTAACGCTTAATGATCATTGAGCTCTTTTAGACCAGACGAAGGTAGGAAGCAAATAAGTTCTCCTATTATAGTCAGCTGAATTATGACTCAAAATGCACATAAGAATATAACTGAAATGTGTGACTACAAAGCACACCAAACAAAGTCATATTTTTAATAAAATCATGCAGTGTATGACAGATAGCAAAGCAAACAATACATAATTGATAACCATCATTGAGAATGCTTACAATAAGGGGAACATTAAAATGCAAATATAAATAATACCAACTGTTTGTTCACTAGCCCTAAACACATGAAGTGAATTTCAAAGTCGAGTGTACACTATTCAATACTCGATGGTTCGCATCAGTCAAGATTAAAACATACTACTTAATTACTAATTAGTTTAGTTACTTGATAGAATAGGGATGAGTAGCAATTGTAGGATTATTTAGCTATTGTAAAAGTTTTATATGGGCCCTATTGTGTAAAAATGTATTGTTTGATTTTATAGTTACAGTTACAAATCTTACGATTCCAGATAAAATTAATATCGGTAGAGTGATCGAATTTCTAAGTCATTTGCTTTCTGTTGCGACGGGCAGTGTTCGAAATCTGATACTGATACACGGTTTGCTACGCCTTAACCCCCCAACTGACTACCTGAGCAAGAAAGTATATTGGACTGCCGAATAAAATGCACAAATTTTCATTCATATATATGATGCTCTATCCTTAAGAAATTGGCCCATTTCTTAGCTAATGAAATGCACTTGTCGTTTTAGGTCACTTCTAATTGCCATCGATTGACCTACTGGTCAGACCATAATTTATGGACAACCCTTGAGTGCTGACTTTAAGGTGACCTTGAAAATGCCCACCTACTACTAACTAGGACTAAATGATGATTATAAACCAGTGAGAGGAATTAGAATTATGATTTACAGTTGATGGTTAGAAATTGGATTTAATGCCTACATCACGAACAGAAACCGGCTATAATGCCGAAATAGTATTTAGACAAATGAAGATGAATTTCGCGCTAAAACCCAAAATCTGTTATCTTAAATCTGATCGGTTCGTCCATAAATTATAATCTCGCCGACCTTCTCATTACACTACTTCTGATTAGCTCACCATATCACTTTCTAATTCGACAAAATACTACAAAACATTTTAGAAAAAATATTTTTGCTGTCAATCATTGTCTAATGTATTTAATCAGAAGTCTTTTTTAAATAAAATAGTTTAAAACCTATTGTGAAGGTAATTCCTGTTAGTCAGTTAGCTACAGTCTGGAACCAGGCACATCGGTCCAAGTTGCCGTACTGCATTAGCACAACAACATGAAAAACAAATTCATTGTAGTTACTTCAATGGTAGAAATATATAAAAGAAAGATTGCATATAAGGATCTAGTACAGGAAGAAAGAATTAGTACGTAGAAAGAAAGATATGAAGCGATTTTAATCCCATATTTTAAGGGGAGACAAAGAGTGTATACACCGACACCATTGTGATCGATTCTGAGCCATGTCGCCAAGGGTCTCCAACCATTGGTTACGATAGTCACGCGGACCCAACCAAGTAGTCTGCATCTACCAACATGGCTCAGACTAGAAATTAGTTACTTCATACACTGATGCCACGTTTTGGTTTGGCTGCCCCTAACTTTCTTCCAACCATCCCCAACACCGGGTAGCATTGCACGTCGTAGTGATCGGTGTTCAGGCATATGCAATACGTGGTCCAACCATCTCAGTCGATCAAGAATCACAACTTCATCAACTGATTTACCATCATTCCCTAATTCCTGCTAAATTTAAACGAAATGAATTATTACAGTGAACAATATATATATATTCTTTGTTATACGTTTTGTAAATGACGGATCATTGATGTGAACTGGAGTTCATACAACATTCATATATAATCATGTGCTAATATGAAAAAAAGTCATTAAATGAAAATATATTCATGTATATTTGAATGTTAATATACAAGTTGAATAGATATTAAGTAGGAATACATTGTAATATTGTTTAGTTGTTACTGTGATTTCTTTATAATAATCAAAATGCCCTGGTACGGTCGAGGGTGAGGAGAGTTAACTCTCCCTCTCGAAATGCTCTCACGTGGCCATGCGTATACAGCCACTTCCAGGGGAGTCCTACTCACTGCCTTTTTGTGGTGGGATGTTGTTTACGAAGTTGAGAGGACGAAAAGCGAATGTCCGGCACATTAACCGAGTTGGTGGACACGAAGGGTCCACCTAGGGGGGTCGGACCTATGGTTGGTCACCGGCCACTATGGTACTGCATCTCCCTAAGCTGCTCCACTGCCTTGTGGATTAGACATTTTGGGTCAAAGGCTCCGGGTGTGGCCCTCTAAGAAAACCACCTGCTTCGGTCTGGGCACCCGGGCAGTATCCCAGCCCATACACAAACAAAGTGACTTGTATGGCGCACATGTATTCGGTGCACCTTTGTATCAATATTTATGTGTTCAAATGAATAATAATATAAAATAAAAATTGTGATATTTAATAAAACGATTTTAGGATTAATTTAAATTCTTTACAAATGTATGGATTTAAACCTATCCTACATTAAAGTATATACTACATGTTGATTTAAAAACAAGCACGTCGTTAATGCGACAATCAATTTGGTTGAAAAAGACCAATTTTTTCATTCGACGTTTGAGATCAGCTTGTACACACTCAACGAAGACCATGTGTTCAGTTAACAATGTCTTTATTGGTGCGACTACATTTGTAAATGGTATTTTTATGGTGTATACTCACTTTTAAAGAAACATTATATGCATATATACCACAATGCTGTGACTTTGTGAGCAATAAAATATCATCATATAAACGGTTGTTGGTGTTGCTAGATCCCAGAAATCACTTGGTAAACGACTCATTTTTGCAGTTTTATTTTGGAAGTTTGAATATCTCATTTTCGCACTAAAAGCACCCACTTTTAGCTTCAGTTTGTATTTCCTACTTGGAAGCATCTTAAATGTTACTGGTTCGTTTCTGACGAAATCTCAGCACGGATTCGTAAAGCTCGTTTGGCTTTTGCCAACTTACGTCACCTTTGGCGGAGGCGAGATATCCGTCTATCAATAAAAGACGAGTATACTGCGCGGCCGTCCGTTCTGTTTTAATTTACGGCAGCGAAACATGGCCCTTAAGAGTAGAAGACACCCGTAAGCTACTAGTATTTGACCACAGATGCCTTAGAAATATTGCTGGCATCTGCTGGGATCACCGGGTAAGTAATAGTGAGGTTAGACGCAGGGTATTAGGGAATGAAGGTAAATCAGTTGATGAGGTTATGAATCTTCATCGACTGAGATGGTTGGGCCACGTATTGCATATGCCCGAACACCGATTACCGCGAAGTGCAATGCTAACCGGTGTAGGGGATGGTTGGAAGAAAGTTAGGGGCGGCCAAACCAAAACGTGGCATCAGTGCCTGAAGTCACTAACTTCTAGTCTGAGCCATGTTGGTAGATGCAGACTACTTGGTTGGGGTCCGCGTGACTATCGTAACCAATGGTTGGAGACCCTTAGTGACATGGCTCAGAATCGATCACAATGGCGTCGGTGTATACACTCTCTGTCTTCTCTTAAACTAAGAGATTAAGATCACTTCACATCTTTCTTTCTACGAACTAATTCTTTCTCCTATACTATATCCTTATTGCAATCTTTCTCCTATATATTACCACCTTTGACCTAACCACTCCTATGAATCCGGTGTTCATCTTGCTGTGCTAATGAGGTATGGCAACCTGGGCCGATGCATACATGTGCCTGGTCCTACGTTGTAGCTGACTGACTGACTGACTGACTCGTTTCTGCTTTTAGTACGCTATTTTGTGGTGTTTCCCAAGGACATTTTTGTATTGTTTATATACGTACTTGTGTGGTTCTTTGTTCGTTCTCTGACTGTTTGTAGAATAAACATTTCCCTCGGCTGAATCTAGTCTGCTTCCTCTAGTTAGCAGCGCTGGGGTGCAATGGAACAGTTTAGCTTATCCTGTTGTGTTGTTGATTTTCGTCCCGTTCGCCCAGTTTAAGTGATATTACAATCTCTTCAAACGCAGCAACAGCTAAGAGAATTCTTGAAATATTTCAAATTAATTTCGTCTACAACTTAACAAAGCCTTTTGAATAAATAACTATCCAGTTGCTGAGATGATTATTTTGGTTTTTCGAGTCAATAAATATGATATATGTAGCAGCTGTGATAAAAACTAAAAGTTAATCGTAGGGACGTGATTTTAAAAGACCGAGTTAAAACATATGGATGAAGAGATACTGGAGTTCAAAATCGAGGGAAGATAGACTGAATGCAACTGCACCACTGAAAACAATTCGGAGCCATGTCACCTAACATCTTCAAACGCTGATCACGATTATCATGGTGACATCAACCAGGTAGTATGCATATACCTACATGGCTTAGACCACTAGTCGACGATTTCATGGACTAATATCACGTTTTGGTTTGGCCGCTCATAACTGCTCGGAAAACCGATTTATAACTTCTAGAAAATATAAATAGCATAATGAACAGTACACAGTACAAGTACAATGTTTTTTTATAGTTTATTAAATTTACAATCTAGTACGAAGTGAGATAATGAGGATTTGTAGCTTAGGTGGATATTTTTGATGTTGATGAGTTCTCTGGGTTAGATGGTTCAATTGCTGAGCTTTCGCCGTCATTCACAGTGTAACATTATAAGAGCTCACTTACTAAATGAAGTCGATCCTGATGGTGTTATCTAGAAAAATGAAGGCTTTGCGATTAAATCATCGAGCTCAGGGAATTACTCAACAACACCAATAACAGAAAAAACATCCTAACGTAGCCCATGTATTTATAAAAGATAATCTCTCGTACCACCAAATATGCAGAAATAAATTGAGAGAGAGGGGAAACTATTATATGATTAATGTTGATGATTAGTGTATAGACGTTTAATAATCATATTAGAAAGATTCAGCTAAATTAATCTTATCACTCACCTAGAAAAACCGGTATCACCTTTACTTGGTTTTAAAGGTCCAGGTGAAGTTGAGAAAACGACATCACCGTAAGCACCGAAAGGACCAACACCACGTGAACCAGCCGATATAGGACGAACTGAAGAAATAGTAGTACTTGCAGTTCGACTTGGACCGGTAACTCCAGGTCCTGGTGTCAGTGTAGTTGTACCTGATGGGCTAACACCTAAATCAGATGGATTAAGTCCACATAGTCGAATTGCAGCTACTAGATTACGTGTGTTTACTCCACAATGTGATGCAACATTTTTCTCACATCTTTTGTGAATATTTAAACGACAAACTTCGCATTGTAAACCTTGACGCATTAAACCGAATAGCAAAGAACCACAATGATCACAAAATGCTGGACGCATAAATGTATGAATTCGAAATTTGTGAGGAACATTAATATTGAAGCGACTCTAGTAAACGATAGAAAGAAAAACAAACAAAAGAGATGTGAAGGATAGTGTTGGAGGAAAAAAGTTAGATAATGCCAATTTATAACTATCTGTAAAGCTATTTGATCGGCCAAATTGTCTATAGGTTTTATTATACGTATATCGATCTCATTTATCATAACTACCGACACCATATACTAACAGTTACTTGAATAAATAAACTTATTTTAAGTGGCTCATCACAAAATGTGGATCCAGACAAAAACCTCCATAGCTTTTTTAGTAGTTTACGTCAGTGTAAATTATATACAATAATTAATGTCAGTCGTCAACTGATTAAGTGTGATTTGTGTAGCTTATATTTCACTATGAAGTGAGAAATCATTATCACTGTTATTTTCATCCAGGGAGTAGTGTACTGTTACTGCACATATTAACTAAAACTATTTCTGAAATGTCAATAAAATGAAATTGATTAACTTTACCATTTTATCTCACCGTTAATTTAGCATGAAGGAAAGAGGTGGTTGTATGCTTTAGCCCTTCTCTGCATGGAGAGATTTGTTAAAAATCACGACAATTACAGTGTAGAAAATAACAAGGATTTAAAATGAAAATTTAGTGTTAGATAGATTGTAAAACAATGAATTAGTTTAAATTGAATTTCTACTCATGAAATTGTAGGTTCTAAAAATTACTTGTATTAGATCATTTGATAATAAAATGAATATGACACTATTAGTTAGTTAGTTATCACAAACGTACAGCAAAAAGTAAGACTGAAGAGTGAAAATATAGTTCAAAAAGATAGAGTGTAAAAATATGTATGAGGGAATACTAGAATTCAAGATCGAGTGAAAGATAAAGAGTGGATGGAACTGTGGCAGTGTGAAAGATTCTGAACCTTATCCCTCAAAGTCTTCAGTCACTAGCCACGATTTTTGAGCAGACCTAAACCAACTAGTCTGCATCTGCCTAAACGGTTCACATCAACAGTCTATGATTTCATAGATTAATGCCGTTTTTCAATTAGGCAGTCACTAGCTTTCTTCCAACCGACTTTTATACTAGCAAAAATTACCCGTCGAGGTGGACGGTGGTTCGGCATACGTAACAAACCTTCCAATCATCATAGTTGATGAAGATTCACAGCTTCATCAAGCTTGTAGTTATGTGAAAGTATTTATGAAACAGGTTGGAAGGATGGTTACTGATACTATCTAGTTACTTAAACTTTGATATATAAAGTAATATTCGAACTCATGACTTGGTAGTGTAGATAGGTGATAGACTAAGATGCTGAGATATAAAGATAATATCGTTTGAATAATCACTGAATTGATATTGCTATGACATAATTCAAATAAACTACATTACATTTAAAGATGACCATTTACACTTTTGGACTAGTAAACTTTACTTATGCATCTAACTAGTATTATCCATTTGTCATCTTAATGAACTTACTTGGAGAGCAGCTGTTGGACAACTTGGAGGTGACTTTACACCAGGACATTGAGTTATTACATTTAAATAACAACGTTTGTGAACAACGCATGTACACACTTGACACTGATAACCTTGATTCCATAAACCCCAAATAAATCCATTGCACAATGAACAAAATGTAAATTGGCGCAAACTTGTAACTTGAAATTTATGACCTTTTGCTTGGTGAATTCTACGACGAAGTGCACCACAACGATAATGCTTCCCATGTACGCCGCCAATAGCACTATCTCGACTAGGAAATCCTGGACGGTCTCTTGGCGGTTCATCCGTTCTCGTACCAGCCAAATCAATACGTATAAGTAATTTTCCTTGAGGTTCCAATTCCAACCACATATCTTCACCAAATCGAACATCTCGTAAAGCCAATTCAACGATGGCAACAAAATCATCAGGGGGAATAGCAGCATCATGATATACAGTAAATGTAAGTTGTTGAGCATAATTGATTCTTGCACAAATGTCTTCATTCCACTGTGGTATATTTGTACGGGATTTTGTGGAACTTTTACCAACTGCATTATCATCCACATCGATTGTCACATAGGGATCTAAAAGTTCATATAATTTAGCAGCTGGTCCAACCGCATGACGAGTTGCACAAGCTGTCGGTTTTAATTCAGCTGCTTCATATATTCGAATATTAAGTGTGCCAGAGAAATATTCCATGAAATCACACTCTCAAAAGAGAGTCTAAAAGTTGATACAAAAAGAATATATCTTAAGTAAAAAAACAATACTTATGGACAGAACAAATCTGAATAAGTCAAATAAGAGAAACACTTAATCCTAACAATAGTGTTAATTCATTTGATTTTGAGAAACCATTTAATGTTTATCACTTAAATTATTATAGCCCACGGTGCTTCAATACCTGATACACAACCCACGACTTACAGGCCTCAGAGTTCCTAGTCCCAATCCCCGTTAAAACCATGGGTGTACACAACTGGAGAGTCCCTACACTAGGAAGAAATAGCTATTTAGTGCTCCCTGGTTCTTAATGGCTACCTAAGCCCAGCTTGTGATGCTAAACTACAAAATCTAACAATTTCTATTATCCCCAATATATTTTTTCACTTGCTTTGGATGGTCTTAGAATTACATGAAAGAGTAGAATACATATACTCCTAACAGTTATTGAAGAAAAGATCAAGAGGTATTTAGAAATTTCACAGAAAAACTGTGATCCACAGGCGTAGCTAATTATTATTTAGTTAAACAAATATGCGCCACACTTCACTATTCGATTTGCGTGAAGGCTGGCATCCTGATCGAGTGCCCAAACCGAAGTAGGTGGTTCTTTTGGAGGAACACTCCCCGAGCCTTTGACCTAAAGGTCTAATCCACAAGGCAGTGGAGCAACGCAAGGAGATGCAGTCCCATGGTAGCCGGTGACCAACGATAGGTTCATACACCATTTGTTTCCTTAGAATTATGGAGCCCATGTGTACCAGTGGTTTGGAATCAGGGTTTCTCAACTCCCCCAAGTGGAACCTTCGTATTCACCAATCCGGTTGAAGCACCGGGCATTCGCTTTTCGTCCTCCAAATTGCGTAAGCAACATCCCCGTTGTGAGAAGGTAGTGGCTGTATACGCGTGGCCGTGAGAGCATTTCGAGATGACTCTCAACGTCATCGGCCGTACCACGGCCCAAAAGAACTCAGAATGCCTAACTACCCGGATTGAGGTTTCATCTAATGTATTTTAATAATTAGATATTGAGGAGTGGCAAAATGACAACCAAAAAATATGAAGCAACACAGCACTTCCAAAATGATGGATGCACTAGTTACAGTAACAGTGGGGAACGAAGTTGATTTTTTTCCTCTTCAGCTTATGGGACAGACTATGACGGAAATAATTTCCATTTCAAATAGTCAGAGCAACAAATTTCACAGGTATATGGAATGTCTGGACAATGTTGGAGATAGGGAGGACCAATCAAATAGCAATGGAATTGAGAGGATACCCATTGGACCCAAACTAGACAGCAAATGATAGATTTGGAAAAGATGCTGCTGTACTCCAGTCACGAAGACGAAAATGCTCCACATGCTCAGGGAGTTGCTCTGATGCTGTTTAAAGAAGCACGTAATGCAATTATAGGATGGGGATCTCATGGATCCAGGATCATCGAAGCATCTTTCAAATCAAATAGGAAGGGAATCACAATAAATACTATGGAATGTTAAGCACCCACCAACGATAGCAATGACCACGATGAAGATCAGTTCGACGAGAGTCAGGACGAAACTCAAGCCCCAAATGCCCTGGTACGGCCGAGAGTGGGGAGAGTCCGCTCTCCCTCTCGAAATACTCTCACACGGCCACGCGTATACAGCCTCTGCCAGGGAAGTCCTACTCACTGCCTTCTCGTGGCGAAGGTGTTGTTTACGAAAATGAGAGGACGAAAAGCGAATGTCTGGCGCTTTAACCGGATTCCAAACCAATGGTGCACATGGGCTCCAGTATCCTGCGGGAACAAATGGCGTACGAACCAATTGTTGGTCACCGGCTTCCATGGGACTGCATCTCCTTACGATGCTCCACTGCCTTGTGGATTAAACCTTCATTTCGAAGGCTCGGGGGGTGGCCCCTAAGAAAACCACCTGCTTCGGTTTGGGCACCCGGGCAGTATCACAGCCCTCACACATATCGAATGAGATTTGTGTGGCGCATATGTATTTGATGCCTCCTTGTGCCAATATCTATGTGTTAGAATAATAAATAATACAGCCTTCCTTTTACATACTGCCAAACTCAACCAATTCATGATAACTTTGAACAACAGGTTCCAAACCTTACATCTACTCAAAGAAAAAACTATTATGGAGGACCATTGAAAAGGGATGACAAAGGCGTAAACTTGAACGTATCAGGGAGTTCTGGAACGCAACAAACATCATAATCATAAGGAATGGATATCAATGGTAACTTTGGACAAGAGTGAAGAAAAAAAGACAGCCGAACAGGAACAGAGAAAGTCAAGACACAAGCTGAATACACTGAAGCAAAAAAATAAATGAATGGACCATGATGACCTTCACACCTGAGAAGATGCACGGAATACAATGGACAGGTTGGATGCAACGAGACGATTCGGACTTCGTAGATCATCTAGCTCTTCTACCCTATGCAGACCAACAAATGCAGATGAAGACAACCAGTGCAGCACCAGCCTCTACATCAGTAGACCTCAACATATACAAGGGAAATTGCGAGATCCTCAAATACAACACGGAGAACACCAATAAACTTAACCACACTTGGTAGAGAAACTCTGGAACTGGTGAAAACTTTCACACACCTGGACAGCAGCATCATTGATGAACAAGGAAGTTCCGATGAAGATGTAAAAGAAAGGATTGGTAAAGCAAGAGCCGCATTCATACAGTTGAAGAAAATATGGGACTCAAAACAGCTGTCTGTCAGCCAACATCGAAGTGAGAATCTTCTATACGAACGTGAAGACAGTTAGTCCTATTGTACGAAGCTGAAACTCCCAGAACTACCACAACCATCATCAAAAATGTACAAGTATTTATAAACAATTGTCTACGCAAGATACTCAACGTCCGTTGACGGGATACCATTGGCAGCAACAACAGCCTATTGTGGGAGAGAATAAACTAGGTTCCATCTGAAGAGGAAGTTAGGAAAAGACGATGGAAGTGGATAGGACATACATTATGGAAATCAACAGATTGCATCACGAGGAAAGCGCTAAGTTGGAATCGTGAAGGGAAACGGAAAAGTGTATGGCCGAAGAACATACTACGTCGGGAATCGAAGGCAAGCATGAAAAGGATGAATAACAACTGGAAAGGATTGCCCGGGACAGAGTTGGATGAGGAATGCTAGTGAGCGGCCTACTTTCAATCTATATTCTCATTCATAGGTTTGACCTTATTTTTCTAACTGTTAGATTAAGTGTTGTGAGCATAGTGTTGAAGCGGGCAGTCATGCTTGAATTATACTGAAACTTGGGTGGTATTGCGTTGATATTTCCGGACTGAGTAGCTAAGATCCAGGTTAAAACACATTTGAACACACACAAACAAAACCTGAGGGAAGCAACGAAGTGAAACTAAGAGTCAAAAACATCTTTCGATCGCATATTAACTCATGAGATGTCCTTGGTCGTGCATGCACCTCAATACTCAGTAAAAGTGACAGTGCAGTGTTATTCTTTGTTTTTAAGATATCTGGCAACATTTGTATCCAATCTAGTTAGATGAAGTGTCTGGAATATAGTTGTTTAGGGAATGCAGAGTCTTTTGGTAGCGCTGAGCAGTAATGCCAGAATGGTTGGGATGCGCTTCTCCCTCTCTAAATGCAAGTTGTTGCTTCAGAACTGACCTGCGTCAACACCTGAACTAAGAACAGGGAGTGAAGTAGTCGAACGCATCGACATCTTCACTTATCCTGGAAGTCTGATCAACCCTAATGGCTTGGTGTCTGACGAAACCTCAGCACGGATTGGAAAAGCTCGTTTGGCTTTTGTCAACTTACGTCACCTGTGGTGAAGGCGAGATATCCGTCTATCAATAAAAGGACGAGCATACTGCACGGCTGTCCGTTCTGTTTTGTTTTACGTCAGCGAAACATGGCCACTAAGAGTAGAAGACACTCGTAAGCTACTAGTATTTGACCACAGATGTCTTAGAAATATTGCTGGCGTCTGCTGGGATCGCCGGGTAAGTAATAGTGTTAGACGCACAGTATTAGGGAATGATGGTAAATCAGTTGATGAGGTTGTGAGTCTTCATCGACTGAGATGGTTGGACCACGTGTTGCGTATGCCTGAACACCGATCACCACGAAGTGCAGTGCTACCCGGTGTTGGGGGTGGTTGGAAGAAAGTTAGGGGCAGCCAAACCAAAACGAGGCATCAGTGCTTATAGTAACTAACTTCTGGTCTGAGCCATGTTGGTAGATGCAGACTACTTGGTTGGGTCCGCGTGACTATCGTAACCAATGGTTGGAGACTCTTGGCGACATGGCTCAGAATCGATCACAATGGTGTCGGTGTATACACTCTTTATCTCCCCTTAAACTATTTGATTAAGACCGCTTCCTATCTCTCTTCCCGTACTTGATCCCTATAAGCAATCTGTTATATATTACCACTGAATTAACTACTATGAATCCAGTGTTCATCTTGCGGTGCTGAGGTATGGCGACTTGGACCGATGTATATATGTGCCTGGTCCTACGTTGTAGCTGACTGACTGTTTAGGGAATTGTACATGTGTCACGTTGAATATGCTGGGATATTGAGGGATAAATCACAATACATACAGTTTGAGACGATAGTCTAATCCTTTACAAACGTTGTGAAGCCGTATGAACCCGGGAAATATCATTCAAATGGAGAAACATCGGTGTGTTTTAGAAGAGAGAACTAAACTCTAAGCTAAAAGGAAGAAACGTAAAAAAGCTTCAAGTTACTTGGAACTTAAGAATTTATATTTAAGTGCCGACAATTGAAAAAAACTTGTTAATCATAAAATGTTAGATGGTACTTATTTGTCATCACATCGGGAACTTGAAACACTCATTCGCATAAACAACCCAGACAAAGGGAGACGATACCCCAGTGTAATATGGAGATGGTCTTACATTATCATAAGTAGGAAGCGACTCCATAATAACTGGGGCTTTCAGAATATCTTAGCGATGTACATTCGATAGAGGAGCGTTTATTCCGGGAACGGATACAGTTTTCTCTTTAGCTACAATCTGAGCAGGGTGATCATTTAGGAGCTTGATGTCCCTAAATTCCTGACGAGATTTAAGATGGAAAACCATCAGGACTAGGGGAGATGCAACCGATGTTTTCAAGTAACTATACACTGTTTGTTATTAAATCTCCAAGTTTAGGCTAAAACTGTTTCTGGCTCATGAGGGGCTAACAGACTGACAAAATAAAAAAGGCATTTTCTTCAAAAAAGCATTTGATACAACTCTTCAAAGTGTTATTGACTAATTCTGATTAGCTTAGAACATGTACGCATATACACTGCTTCAAGGTGTCACACCCACTAAACTTTGTAAGCCCGTTAAAAAGAACAATCCAACCTATATTAAACTAATTTTGTTAGGTACTTATTGAAGTCAATCGGCCAATTCTGGGGACTTTTGCGATTCAACTTAAAGTTAAATAAAAAGTCGTATTTTTCCCAAACTATCTTAGAAAAAACTTTTGTTAGTTTTGAGGAAAACCCAGTGGAATGTTTTAGAGAAATGTGACTAAAACCCGAAAATTCCCCATAATAAAAGTGTTTCGAGGGAACTTAATATTTCTCCAAAAATCTTTGGGATTTCTTCAAAGTTTTAGATTGTTTCCGGGAAAACCTTCAGACGAAGGGAAGTGTTTTGGTTTTTGGTCACATTCCACTGAAATTTTTCATTGGAGCTTCCTCGAAATTGACAAAAATATTCCGAGAAAAAGGGAGATTGGAGACTTTCGACACATTTAGTCTTTATGTGTATTTGAGCGAAAGGTGATAAGAGGGCGTTAAATAGCGCGGAGCATTGTTAAAAATGTAAGGGGTACATTTATTATTGGACAAACGAAACTGACTTCACTTAAATGCCCATAACATGCAGGCTATAGGACATTGGAAATGCAATTTATATAAGCCGCCTCGCCATTCGCAGATGGTGAAACGTTCAACGGGTTGCGATGTAAGATAATATTTCACTTGGATAACTCCTGTAACTAGTTGACGACATTAGTAATGCTGTTAGGTAGAAGTCTAAGTGGATAAGGCCATGATTCCAAAAGATACACAGTGTTATAAAACCGATGGTTGGCGGACTTGATGAATAACTTCACTATTATTATAAGTTGAGAAGCAACATAGCTCCTTTCCCTGTTAGTTATATATTAAGCCCATTTCCACAGGGGTTAGGTTTAAAATGCTTTTATTTTTTGTTTTTACTATTCATAGTTCATGGCATTCTAGTGAGTTCCCCGGGTATATTTGTAAGTCCTTAGCATTTTTCTAACCTAAATGCCCATTTTCGATTATTTGAAGTTATAATCTCGCACATCATGTTGGTTTGCTTAATCCTCAGATGAATGCACGAAATGTGTTGTTTGCAACACATGTGACATGCAACTGTGAGCTAGCCTTGTGTAAATAATTGACATAAAATTATTTTGCAAGTGGTTCTCGTTGTGGTTCACGTTTTTTATGGTTTCACCTTATTTGTACAACAAAGGTTAGACCAATTTTCCCACAACATCGGGTTGCAACACGGCTCAACAATAGAAATGTTGCTTCGAATACGAAAGGTTATCGGTCAACATGTGGTGTATGTTACTTATGCTCAGTGACGTAAGTGGTAAGTAGCCAGAACCGGAAGTGCAATGTCTGGCAGCAGGAAATTGGGTTGAAGAGAACAAAAAGGAAATTGAAGAACAATAAATAATATCACAGTTAGAACAATAATGGAGTACGTAAAAGACAACGCAAAGAATATGTACAAATAGTGTGTTCACAGTATAATTTCCATATTGTACTAAGACACTGTGTGAATCCGCAGAACATGCCATATCTATTTGAAGTTTGACAGCGCTTTAACCAGTAATACCTTCTAATATGAATCGTACCCACCAAGTGAAGTCAAATGACAGAAGCTAGGAGGTTCGAAGATATATCTGATAAATTTCGATAATGATATTAGAAGACGAAGATTATCAGAACTATGTGATATATTAGCGCAATACATTTCGAACAATCTGGTCACACATATACTTGTTAAGAGCATTTATATATAAAAATAAAAGGTCAACTAGACAGGAAACGGGGTAAGAGGAGATAAGGATAATGATAAGAGTAATAATAATAATAATTATGTGAACACAATTTGAAACCTAATCACTCTGGATAATAAGTCAATATTACCAGGGTAGGTTTAAGGTAATAACAAACTGTATTTGAACACATAAAGGGGGTTTGAATTTTCGTATGGCTAAGGCTTCAATGAACCTTAGTATACGCCCTTTTACACTTTTATACAGCACTACAAAAGCTGAATTTAGATCAATCTTGTGACCTGTTTCAATTATATGTTTAGCAATAGAGGATGATGGATGTTTATCCTCTGCTCTTATTGAGTCACTTGATTGTATTTGTTTCTGAAGCCATTTGGGTACATGTTCACTCACCCTAATGTTGAGATCACGATTACTCCTCCCTATGTATGTGTGACCACACACACATTTAAATTGGTAGACACAGTGGGATGTGACGCAATCGTTTCCATGTACTTTAGGTTTTGAATGAAGCATGCACCTTGTTCTTTCTTTGATGATGACCTTTGCTGCGCAGTAGGTTTTATTGATGACTGATTTAAGTCGTTGTTTCAGTAAAAGGTTATTTGAATCACCTCTGAATGGTAAGGTGATGTAGACAGGGTTTTTCTCTACCGAGGCTACAGTAGGTCTCGCTGAACCATGGACTTTCCATCTATTTATGAATTTCAGAGGATAGCCATTTTCTATTAACGTTTTATTTAACAACTTAACATCATCATCAATGGCGTCATTGGTACAAATACGGTCGAGTCTGTTGAAAAAACACCTTATCAAACCACGTTTGTATTGCACAGGGCAATAACTATAATAACTAAGATATTGACCTGTTCACGTTGGTTTTCTAAAAATAGATCGCCTTACTGAACCATCTTCTCGTCTACTCAGGAGTATATCTAGGAAGGGAAGCTGATCGTTTTTCTCCTCTTCACATGAGAGACTAATATGGTTTTGGAGAGTGTTGAGTTTATTTAGTCTCTCATGTGAAGAGTGTGGCTAAATGACAACCAAAAAATATGAAGCAACACAGCACTTCCAAAATGATGGATGCACTAGTTACAGTAACAGTGGGGAACGAAGTTGATTTTTTTCCTCTTCAGCTTATGGGACAGACTATGACGGAAATAATTTCCATTTCAAATAGTCAGAGCAACAAATTTCACAGGTATATGGAATGTCTGGACAATGTTGGAGATAGGGAGGACCAATCAAATAGCAATGGAATTGAGAGGATACCCATTGGACCCAAACTAGACAGCAAATGATAGATTTGGAAAAGATGCTGCTGTACTCCAGTCACGAAGACGAAAATGCTCCACATGCTCAGGGAGTTGCTCTGATGCTGTTTAAAGAAGCACGTAATGCAATTATAGGATGGGGATCTCATGGATCCAGGATCATCGAAGCATCTTTCAAATCAAATAGGAAGGGAATCACAATAAATACTATGGAATGTTAAGCACCCACCAACGATAGCAATGACCACGATGAAGATCAGTTCGACGAGAGTCAGGACGAAACTCAAGCCCCAAATGCCCTGGTACGGCCGAGAGTGGGGAGAGTCCGCTCTCCCTCTCGAAATACTCTCACACGGCCACGCGTATACAGCCTCTGCCAGGGAAGTCCTACTCACTGCCTTCTCGTGGCGAAGGTGTTGTTTACGAAAATGAGAGGACGAAAAGCGAATGTCTGGCGCTTTAACCGGATTCCAAACCAATGGTGCACATGGGCTCCAGTATCCTGCGGGAACAAATGGCGTACGAACCAATTGTTGGTCACCGGCTTCCATGGGACTGCATCTCCTTACGATGCTCCACTGCCTTGTGGATTAAACCTTCATTTCGAAGGCTCGGGGGGTGGCCCCTAAGAAAACCACCTGCTTCGGTTTGGGCACCCGGGCAGTATCACAGCCCTCACACATATCGAATGAGATTTGTGTGGCGCATATGTATTTGATGCCTCCTTGTGCCAATATCTATGTGTTAGAATAATAAATAATACAGCCTTCCTTTTACATACTGCCAAACTCAACCAATTCATGATAACTTTGAACAACAGGTTCCAAACCTTACATCTACTCAAAGAAAAAACTATTATGGAGGACCATTGAAAAGGGATGACAAAGGCGTAAACTTGAACGTATCAGGGAGTTCTGGAACGCAACAAACATCATAATCATAAGGAATGGATATCAATGGTAACTTTGGACAAGAGTGAAGAAAAAAAGACAGCCGAACAGGAACAGAGAAAGTCAAGACACAAGCTGAATACACTGAAGCAAAAAAATAAATGAATGGACCATGATGACCTTCACACCTGAGAAGATGCACGGAATACAATGGACAGGTTGGATGCAACGAGACGATTCGGACTTCGTAGATCATCTAGCTCTTCTACCCTATGCAGACCAACAAATGCAGATGAAGACAACCAGTGCAGCAGCAGCCTCTACATCAGTAGACCTCAACATATACAAGGGAAATTGCGAGATCCTCAAATACAACACGGAGAACACCAATAAACTTAACCACACTTGGTAGAGAAACTCTGGAACTGGTGAAAACTTTCACACACCTGGACAGCAGCATCATTGATGAACAAGGAAGTTCCGATGAAGATGTAAAAGAAAGGATTGGTAAAGCAAGAGCCGCATTCATACAGTTGAAGAAAATATGGGACTCAAAACAGCTGTCTGTCAGCCAACATCGAAGTGAGAATCTTCTATACGAACGTGAAGACAGTTAGTCCTATTGTACGAAGCTGAAACTCCCAGAACTACCACAACCATCATCAAAAATGTACAAGTATTTATAAACAATTGTCTACGCAAGATACTCAACGTCCGTTGACGGGATACCATTGGCAGCAACAACAGCCTATTGTGGGAGAGAATAAACTAGGTTCCATCTGAAGAGGAAGTTAGGAAAAGACGATGGAAGTGGATAGGACATACATTATGGAAATCAACAGATTGCATCACGAGGAAAGCGCTAAGTTGGAATCGTGAAGGGAAACGGAAAAGTGTATGGCCGAAGAACATACTACGTCGGGAATCGAAGGCAAGCATGAAAAGGATGAATAACAACTGGAAAGGATTGCCCGGGACAGAGTTGGATGAGGAATGCTAGTGAGCGGCCTACTTTCAATCTATATTCTCATTCATAGGTTTGACCTTATTTTTCTAACTGTTAGATTAAGTGTTGTGAGCATAGTGTTGAAGCGGGCAGTCATGCTTGAATTATACTGAAACTTGGGTGGTATTGCGTTGATATTTCCGGACTGAGTAGCTAAGATCCAGGTTAAAACACATTTGAACACACACAAACAAAACCTGAGGGAAGCAACGAAGTGAAACTAAGAGTCAAAAACATCTTTCGATCGCATATTAACTCATGAGATGTCCTTGGTCGTGCATGCACCTCAATACTCAGTAAAAGTGACAGTGCAGTGTTATTCTTTGTTTTTAAGATATCTGGCAACATTTGTATCCAATCTAGTTAGATGAAGTGTCTGGAATATAGTTGTTTAGGGAATGCAGAGTCTTTTGGTAGCGCTGAGCAGTAATGCCAGAATGGTTGGGATGCGCTTCTCCCTCTCTAAATGCAAGTTGTTGCTTCAGAACTGACCTGCGTCAACACCTGAACTAAGAACAGGGAGTGAAGTAGTCGAACGCATCGACATCTTCACTTATCCTGGAAGTCTGATCAACCCTAATGGCTTGGTGTCTGACGAAACCTCAGCACGGATTGGAAAAGCTCGTTTGGCTTTTGTCAACTTACGTCACCTGTGGTGAAGGCGAGATATCCGTCTATCAATAAAAGGACGAGCATACTGCACG